TTAACTTCATAAGATTTATTTTTATAGAACAGAACTGCACGTTCATTTATTACTGAGACCTTAATAGTCACTGTATTATGTTCCACCACAGTTCCTTCCTTAATAATACCCAGTTTGAAAGCTCGTTGCAAATAACCTTCATAAATAAATTCATGCAATTTAGCGAACTGCTCTTTTAACGCTAGTATTTCTTTACCTTGCTTCTAAACTATCTCGGCTAACGTGGAAAAGTTGGATGAAGACATAGCGGAATATTTATTTGTGTTGAAAAGACGGAAGTTTAAAAATTCAATTACGTATATATTCGATCGTAATACCTCTCCAGTCGTCACATTTTCCTCATGGCTTCTTTATATAGCAATCTTTCAATCACCAGAGGGATTCAGTACAGTATTGTATATTTCATCCATGATATGTTCTTTCACAATCTGTGTGATTTTTCTTTGAAATATGAAGACCTAGAGGCAGGAATCGAAAAAGACATCCATGGATTGGTTGTCATGACAAGATCTTAGTAATTCACATGGGTTAAGTCGTCTAATAAATCTTGACAATCCAAAACCAAATCAGATACGAATCCCATCAGCATCAACCGATTGCAGGAGGGGACATGTTGGTAAGGGGTTTTATTATGTCTTGCTGTTAAAAACAAATTAATGATGGGCTATTTTTCTTTTAGATTTGTCGCGTGCTCGACGTGGATTGAAAGCGGAAGATCCATTACCTGATGGGATATAGTTAGATACTTACTGTATATAGCGAAAAATAATTATATTTGCTATTATACTGTAAATTTTTTCATCACTGATTATATGAGTCAAAGACTCTATGCTCCGCATATTATAAATGATGCACCTTAATTATTCAGCGGAACCGTCATAACCAATAAATAATGTGTAAATATATATTTGATCATCACAGTTAATAAAATTTTCTTTGTAAATATATCAGGCCCTATGGAGCGCTCTTCGAGCATCTCATGCCTTTACAGTTACTATGTGGATTGAATCCTGATATTTATTTGTATAGCAATAAAGACGATAAGTTTTTTCATCACAATATTCACCACTACCCCAAAAACCCTCTATATAATTTCTTATATTCTCTTTTTTATGATTTTTATCACATATAGGGCAATATATAGAACTGTTAAAAACGAAGTAATTATTCTTTTTAAAACTATGTTTCAGAGTTACTGTAAATAAGGAAATCTCTCTAATACCATGTTAATAACATGTTGTTGCCTTTCTTCCGGATCTTTAGATAAAACAGAAATTGGGAATTGTCGTTTAGATGGTGTGGATTGAATATTTACCCGTGATACAGATAAAATCTTTTCCTCAGCACCCTTTTCAATTTGAGAGGATTCGAAAATTTCAGACTTTATCCAGGGATCGAGCCCGGTTTTTTTCTTATATATTTTATATAACTTAGAACGAAGTTTGTCAGATATAGTGGTTGGCAAATCAGTTAATTTGGAATACCAAACCAGATATTCGGTGGTTAGTACCTTATCAGACTTGGCTTGTGTATCCATGTTGTCATTTATATAATTTCAAATCAATTTAATTTCTCGGATATTACGTATTTAAAAATATCCTTGTTCACTAGCCAGCTAAAGATGGGTCCCTAAAGGGGGAGGCAGGGACAAAAGTCAAATGTCCCTCACTAGGAAACTTTAAAATTTTTAAAATAATAACTATAAAAAAACTACATACAATTGTTTTCCATTATCCAAATTATTGATTTATAACATTTCCTGAATTTTTCCCTATTGAAGTAAAGAGTTATGAATTTTGTCCCTCAAAAGGGGACATAAGTGATCTGCAAAATTTTATATGCTAAATACTTTAGGGACCTATCATTATAGCCAGCTCGTACCCAGATTTGTATAGTTAACTACTTCCCCAACGATTCACTTCGTTCATTCAGGTCGATTCAATGCCCAGAAACAGAAAAAAATACGTGCTTTATTTTCTGATCTATTGACAACAAACATAGTGAGTCGACGGGATATATACACTCCACCTACAATAAGAGTAATGAATTGGCAGGATTTTATGCAGTTATTTGAATTTCGTTTTGCTCACATTTAATATAGTAAGTTTCATCTTTATATTCTCCTTTTATACCTTCCTCATCATAATGGTCGAACTTGCATAAAGGGCATGGTGCCTCATCACTAATTCCGTAGTAATCAATATTTTCATCGTTAAATTCATAAAATATATCGGGATACTGATCTAATACTTTCCTACGAAAACTTACGCTGTTATAGGTTGGATTATTTTGTTTTTCGGATAAGATCTTCTTGGGTTGATATGTAGATATTACATGTATTGTACTTACCTCGTTTTCTGGTAATTTTTTCGACTTATCTAGAACACTTACCTCATCTGAGTCAAACGGTTTATCCATGTGAGGGCGAGACCCGGGGTGCGCGGTGTGCATTCCATTATGATCTTGTTAGATACGAGAGCATCTTCAGTATTCTTGGAGAAATATTCTATAATATATTGAATTTGCGGGTTAGTAAGTTTTGATATTCCATTTGCGCTATAAGATTTAACCCGTTTGGTCTTATCCTTTCCTATACCGTTAAATAATTTATAAATCTTACAGGCTCTTTGAGTTTGCTTGCGGAAATTTTCACGTGAGACACCAGAAAGACAATTCCAGATTTCATCATAAACTTGAATTCTCGCCAAGTCATCTGCTCTTTTATTATTTCGGGAAATAGATAAGATATCAACCCTCTTTTCAAAACCTTCCGCATAATAATACCAGCTTAAAATTTCTTCTTGCTTCGTGTATATAGTATTCTTTTTAGCCTTTCGTGCTTTTTGATACAAATGAGCCAACTCAATAACAAAGCGTTTACCATTCTCATTGTGAACCGGTATATCTGGCTCTTTACTAACAACTTCAATTAATTCCTCTGAAACAGGTTCTAAATATAATTCCTATATAAATTTTTGCATATCCGGCCGGTTATCCTTCTGAACTGAACTGTTTGTAGTTATATTGGTAGGGGATATAGAATCATATGAAGTTTCAATCGCGGGAGGGTGAGACCTGGGGTCGCGCGGTTGATATTCAGTTATAATATTTATTGTGGAAGTAATTGCACTATGTGCTTCAGATACTTCATTTTCCGGAAAATTTGGCAACTCTGTCTGTGAAGTAGGAGAATCAGAGCTTCGAGTTTCCATATGAATTTGATCGTTTCCCTGGGACACAGTTTTTATATCACATGGTGAATTATTATCCGAAGATAAGTTTCGATCTCGAAGTTTCTTCTCCTTAATACTCCGAATGATCTCTTTACTAACTGTTTCTCTATGCTTTGAATCCAGGAACTTGTCAATTGCTTTATCTTCTGATGTATTGCCATTCTCTATAAGAATAAGAGATGTGGAAGGTCGGCTATCCTTTTCCTGGTATATATCAGTACAGGAGATTCGGCACGTAGTGACATCGGATGTGTTATTGGAACTATTTTCTACCTGTTCAGAAGTATCGGAATTTGAAGAATTATCAGAAATATCAGATGCTGGAGTATCATCACATCGTGAATTTATCTATTCCGAAGAGATGAAGTCTTGGGTCTTTGACTTATCTTCAAAATTACTCTCGGATGAAGTAGATGAATCCCTTGCATTAGTAACGGTTTGATTTTTCTCAATATTCTTAACAGCTCGTTTTAATTCTGCGATTTCAACCTTAAGCTCAATATTTTCTTTTGCCGATCGTTCTAATTCCACAATTCTAACCTCAAGCTCATTTTTTTCTTTCGCGATCTGTTCCAATTCTGCGATTCTAGCCAAAAGCCTGGAGTTCTCTTGTTTCAATAGATCTAGTTCGGATTTGATATTTCCCATTGTTTTATATAATGGATTTATTTAAATTTTGTGTCATCCTGACCAATGGTCGGAACTTGCAGATCACTTTTGCCAAGAAAAATTGGAGATGGCATGGTTAATACAATAAAATAAATTCCAAAATCTTTATTAATAAAAAATTTACGCTGTTTACTTTCTGATTCATATTAATAATCACGATTAATATCTCAAATGGTCAGAAAATTAAATCATATGCTTGCATGATGTTTGTAATACACCCGAAATAGATCATAATATATACTGTATACAAGCTATTATATATAAATATCGCCACAAATAAATTCTTTAGAATCGGTTATAAATTACAATTCTCGCTACAGCTCAATATGCATCTCACCTATTCTCATCGTATACACCAATCACAAAATATGACGAATATACACAACTCATCTAATAATCCAATCCAGACTAAAAATGAATAATATTCTTCTAGAGTGTATAGTTATTAAATCAAATAGGTCTAAATATCCTAATCGATAAATATGTCTGATTTGATATTGCTACTATTATTGATAAAAAAGATAAAACATTTCCTAAACCATATATTAATTGTCCTGGTTTTGATATGAAGTATGCTGTATCATATATATTACATTATGGCGGAACTCGATCAAATTTTCGATAATGAGAGATTATCTGACACTTTATCTACCATAAAACAAAATGAAACACCTGTTCAATGGGCAATACGAGTAAGAATTCCATTACAGAATTTATTAACCGCTGGAAAATTTAGTGTATATCATCAATATTGTTTATTTATGTCATTTAGTAAAGGTAAATTTGTCAATTTCGATTATTACAGACCAAAGGTTCATAAAAGTCATATGGCTATTTGTTTTGATTGCTGGAAACTTATAAAAATTGATGACGTACAGACAGGTCATACAAAAATAGGTCGATTGTGATAATTTTAATAATCACAAAGATTTCGAATTAATTTATTGCTATTAAAATTGTACCTGCGTATTATTGCACATTAACAAAAGAGGTTCACTTTTTGTTTAATTTACTATTTAAGAATAAAAAAAGTTGGAGAATTTTTTTCGTATAATTAATAAGTTGCAAAAATGATTTAATGGAAGCAGAATGCTCTATTGTAGAAAGACTTAAGGAAGAAGGCATGTCGGCTGCCAAAATTGCACGAATTCTTGGGCGGTCAGATAATTGCATCAAAAATTGTGTTAGGCACTTAAAATCAACTGGTAATTCCAGTTATTTAAGAAGAAAATATTGTGGTCAGAAACTACTTATCAGTAACCATTATGAATGTTTAATTCTTTAAAAAATAAAATCTGATCCAACCCTCCGAAAAATGTCAAAACAATCACTTGCTGCTGAATTTTCATTTATCTCTATATCTTCAAGTACTCTATTAAGAACACTAAAGAAAAATGGTATCCATTTACACATTGCTCGTAAAAGCCAATGATTAGTAAAACAAAACAAATCAAATGGTTAAAATGGGCTTTAGCTTATAAAAACTGATCTAAAGAAGATTGACAATGAGTTTTATGGACTGATGAATCTTCCATAAGCATTGACTCAAATGGAAAATCTGAGTCTGGTATCATAAAGATGAACTTTATAATCCAGATTGTACTCAAGCATCCGTTAAAAGTAATTGCAAGTCGATAATGGTCTGGGGATGTATAGATAGAAACAATTTATGTCATTTACTTTATGCTACATCACGTATAAATAGATGGGAATATGCAAATATTGTTTTGGAAACTATTTACCCTATAGTGATGATTTCTAATGAAACGATCTTCAGGAAGACAACTCATCAATCTATAAATGTAAAATCATAAAGAAGCTCAAATATGAGCTTGAAATTACAATGATGGAATGGTCTGCTCAATTTCCTGACCTCAGTCCAATCAAAAATATATGGAGAGAAGTCAAGAATTGAATTCATAAAAACAGAAAATCACAAAATGAATCTGAGTTAGAAAAAGTCAGTACTGCAGCATAGAATAATATTCCATTTGAAAAGATTCTTCATTTTATAAATACTATGCTAGAACATGTTAATGAGGCAATAAAAAAAAAAAGGGTATACAATCCATTGATAGTTGTATATTCGAATAATAAAAAAAAAAAAAGATATACGTATATTTATAAAAATTGATCTATTTTTGTATGATCTGTCTGTACAATTCAAAAAATCATTCCATTTTACTAGATGAAAATATGTTGAATATCTCGTACCTAGTGATTTGATAACCAGTCATTGGAATAATAATTGTAATAAACCAAAGACCGATTTTGAAAAAGCAAGGATTATACAGACTGCTTATCGAAATTATAAGAAAAAACCTGAATCAGAATCCAATACAATCTGGGAAACAATCAGAAATGACGATACTTCTGAGAACAAGAAGTTTTTAGGTATAACTCCTCAAAAAATAAGACTTCCTAAAACTTCTTATATTGGATATGATGGAAGAACGATTCTAGCTAAAGATATACCAGTATATGCTCAAAATTTACCTGAAATGTTTTATTATTATAGTCCTAAAAATTGGGCAGATGCTAAGAAATATCAATTATAAATAGATTATATAATCATATTTTAAATTTATTAAGACAACAAGAATACAGAGTAATCAATAGTAAGCAATGGTATGTAATGCTAAAGTGAATATAAAATCCTGAATTATATATTGATAATAAATACCCATAATTTATTAGAATCAAATAAATTATTATAGGCAATTTATAGAGAAATGTATCAAATTAACAATGTATAGCTTTGCAATACACATATCTATTTAAAATAAACTTTATTTTATTATCCCTTACATTTTTTTATTCAACACAAAAAACCTTCTCGGTACAAATGGGATTTATTTATTTTTCAACATTTGCTTCAATCCCAATCAGGCTGAATACTGATAACTATTTCATTTGAGAATAGTAGTGAATAAGATGTTAAAGCCATCACTCTAACTTTACATCTACTGGATAAGATTAGTTTCTCAATAATATAAGAAGTAACAGATAAATGTATTATATTGCTGTATTAATAAATAATGAAAAAAATAATTATCTCATTATCATGAATTATGCTCTATTGCATAGTAGGCTGTTAGGCGATGAATCGGGATTTGAGCCTATTCATTAAAAAGATCAAGAGACTGGTCCCAATTGAGTCTAACTGCTAGAGGATTATCGATAACCTTAATAAAATCAAAGACTATAAAATTTTAATTCTGTAAAAGTTTATCAATTATTTTAGATGCTTTTTTTGAATCATCTATATATTGACATATGATTCTACTAATATGTCTTTACTACTCAAATCCTGAAATAAACATAAGTACAAAATATTTTTACAAATTATTTTAGATGTTTGTGCATATTTCTGACTTACATATATAAATGAAACATTTTGATACTGGTCACTAATAAAGTAAGGAATAATTCGTTCTTACACTTTCTTTGATTGAGCACATAGATCCTCAAAACAACAAATGTGTTTCGTTATAGAGGGAATTTATTTATATCTGGAATCTTATTTGATGTTATATATTTAAATGTAATATCTTCTCAATATAGTTTTGGAGCATTTGCAAAGATCTGATAGCTATTTCGTACAAGTTGCCATTTTGGCTCAAAATGTTTGGCTACTAATCTGAGATTATTATTTTAAATATACTGATCACTTTTTTTTCCATTAAACATACATTGTAGTTTGTCACTGAGTATAATATTTATTCACATGTTAGTTTTTCCACAATTTGAGCTTCTATTTATAAGCATCCTGAATGGGCAATCTGATAAATACCTATTACTTTCATGATTTTTTAGATGTTTCATTGATATTATATATATATAAGCATACCTTTATCTTTTATTCTAACCAATATAAGCAATATTTATTCTTTATATAGTAAATAACCTTTCTCTTGCAATTTACTTTTTATATAGAAAAATAAATCACAATTGAAAAAGATACAAATAAGATCTATATCTCACTCTTTGTATATATCCTGCTTTTTTTGATTATATTTCCTTTATGAATCTAAATCTATTTCTTCTTATTTATGAAACATTGAATTTTGATAATAATGTTAAACCTCATTAAATTTCTATGTCAATTTTAATTCTTTATTATACCTGTCTAATTGTTTACAAGATAGAAATTTTTTATCTAACAGATCTTCAAAAATATATTTACAGCATCTTTCATTTCTATGGTGAAAACAAACTGGACATCACTCAAATTTTTCTAAATCAATGGATAAGAATATTCCCACTGATAGAGTCCATTTTTACATGACCAAAGATATACAGTATATTCTGATCACTGAATCGATCAGTTTTAATTAAAATACTTTTATTACATTTCTTGCCATATTGTTGAACCCTGTCAAATTCACTACTAGAAACACAAGCAAAATGTATCAATCCAGAAAGATAATATTTTTGTATAAATTCATTAGATGAATACTCAACTTCTTTAGGATTCTCGATTACTTGGAGCTTTTTTCTTTTAAATGGTCAATGTAGATTATGATCCATTAAATGAGTTGTAGATTCTATTAATCAGTTTTTAAGATAATATAAAACAAGTTGAGGTGAATTTTTATATTAATGATGATTTTTCTAATCTTATATATATACAATGAAAAGTGGATCAGTTTTTCTATGTATATGTCCTCCTTTTAACTCACCTAGTTTTAATAAATATCTTACAACTGTTCCTTTCTATGGTTATAGTTCATCCTTTCTAATAGGTCTTTTATATTTGATAGGTTTTTTAGGCATTACTATATTCAATTTTATAGTATGGGTTAGGCTCATACTAATTTTTTTTTTTTAATCTGCAGTCAGGTTAGTATGGCATGTCTTTATTGTATACTGTATATGCTAGGTATTTACAAATTTTTGTGACTTTCACATACTGATTTACTCATCATTGAAAAATTATTTCTCTAAATGCAACCTAGGGAATGATATTTTGCTCCTTT